TGCTTGCCTCCACAATCCAAAATCGCCGCCATACCTGCGGCCTGACTCCACCATCTCAGGATGAACCTCACCAAGATATCACGGTCACGGTCACGGTCACGGTCCTCCCATTGTTCATCGATTTGCTCGAGCAGGCCCAGTAACATCTCCATTGGAGACTTTGTTGTTACTGTGTCTGGCACATCGAATACATCACGGGGAGCTTGCCAGGCTCTGCCGTGCGGGCGAGATACTCTCGGTAGCTTGCCAGGCTCTCCGAGAGGGGCGGAGGAATCGAACTCGGGTCGGCCATGTTGGCTGAGTGCAAGGCGAATGCCCTAGCGCTGTGCTATCGCTCCAGCCCTGGCCAACACAGGTTCGATTCCCAGCATCCCATATGGTCCCCCGAGCACTGCCAGGAGTGATTCCTGAGTGCATGATCCAGGAGTAACCCCTGAGCATCGCCGGGTGTGACCCAAAAAGCACCAAGATATAATCTACTGAAAATTCGGGTATGCTGATTTTGTGACTGAAATCTCCAGGCTTTCTTGTGGTCTGGATGAACTACTTTCCCCCACCTTCCTGTACTTCTGGAAGCCTCGGCAGTCACATACACACACCAAAGAGGCCACCCAACTAAAAACCCACTCCAACCTTACTGTCCCAATAAAAATACTGAATGCCCCAAACGAACATGATGACCTCCTAATACCTGTATTGCAAATCATAATGCACAAAAGAAAAAGGAGAGAGAGACCAAGAAGGAAAGTGTCTCCCATAGAGGGAGGACGGGGGGGTGGGGTGATGGTGATCGGGAAATGGGGGACATTGGTGGGAAGTGTACACTGGTGGAGGGATGGGTGCTGGATCACTGTATGACTGAAATCCAATTAAGAACAGATTTGTAATGGTCTATCACATGGATATCCAATTTAAAAAAATTTTTTTAAAGTAATGTGGAGTTCATGCCCAGCTCAGTCATCTTAATCAATGGCCGAATAAATAGCAGAACTCCTACATTTAAAATAAATAAATAAATAAGATTGATGAGATTCTGAGACATTCAAATAGAATAGCATTTCCCATAGTAGATTAGTTCTGAGAATTGAGCTAATTTTGAGCACCATCAACCTAGAAATGACTTGAGACCATAGAATTTGATTTGATCACCAATAGAAAGAAGGATAAATTTAAACAGAGTCCTAAGTGGAAAAAAAGTACTATAGATTGTAATGTATTTTAGTTCCTCATTCACGTACAGATGTGAATGGTAAATCTAAATATACAGGAAGCAATAAGAAAATAATTCTTAAATTTATCCTTTTTCAGGAGTGCCCTGCCACAGAGGCAGGGTGGGGTGGAGGGATTAGGGGGTGGGAGAGATACTGGGATTGGTGGGGGTGGAGAATGGGCACTGGTGGTGGGATGGGTACTTGATCATTGTATAACTGAACCCCAAGCACAAAAATGTGTAAGTCTACAACTGTGTTGTAGTCATGGTGTTTCACTAATGAAAAAAAAATTGTCCTTTTTATTATTTGTCCCATGTGTTGTTTTTTATTTCAGTTTGTAGTGAGACTTAATGAAGTTGGAGGTACATAAGCAGTAAATTTTATCACAACTGCATTCTGGTTTTAATAATACATTTCACCAATAGCAGAATATTTATTGATAAATTAATATTTAGCATAAAATTTACATTTGATTACAATTATTAGCTTGAATCCCTGAGCAGTGTAGGGGGAGTCGACCAGAATAAAATAAAACAAACACCACAACAAAATTTGCATGATACAGCTTTAGTGCTTCATAAAGGTATACTGACAGGCTTAAGTGTCCTCATTTAAACTCTGAAATATACTTCCAAATAAAAGATTTAGGAGCACGACAGACATTTTCAAAGGCATGATTCAGGGACCGCTGCCATGTGATACTTGACCAGAAGACTGCACCTATGCTTAGGACCAGTGTTGGGGACTTCAGGGCACTCATGGAACCATATGGTGCTCAGAACTGGGAATCAAACCCAAGCCTCACACATATACAGAAGTGTGTAAATCTCTGCTCCAGCAATTTTGAGCTATTTTCCTAGTCTCTGTTGTATATTTTTCTTATTGGTCAAAAGTTTTTTAGAGGCCACTCTCAATATTCTACTTTTCAAACGTAATGTAATAAAGCCAAAAATTGTCACTATTTACTCTTTTATGGACTAGTACTTAGAGTACTATTAGATAATAGTATGTAATAGATCAATATTAGTATTTAATAGATCTTAGAATGCTTTGATTTCACTCATTCTTTATCTTGACATTTAAGCTGTTCTTATTTTATATTTTTAGTTCTGTGTTTTTAACTTCAAAAATGGGATTTTTAACTGGTAAAGTATTTTTTATTTAGATTATAATTTCCTCCTCACTCCCCTTCGTTTTCTTTTGTATATGTGTTCCACCTTTGATATAATTTTTCTTGAATGTTAAAGAATGGAATACATTATTAATGTGTTTATATAGAGATAAAATCTTGTTAATAAAGTTTCTCAATATTTATTTGTCTCAAAATGCCTTAAATTTATTTCCATTCTTGAAAGATAGTTCTGCTGGGTATACAAGTTCTAGGTTAAATTTTACCCTTTAGTAGGATGGAGTGATACCACAGCGGGAAGGGCGTTTTCCTTGGATGCAGCCGACCCATGTTCGATTCCTTCATCCCTTTCAGAGAGCCCAGAAAGCTACCGAGAGTATCCCACCTGCATGACAGAGCCTGGCAAGCTACTCGTGGTGTTTTCAATATGCCAAAAACGTAACAACAAGTCTCACAATGGAGACATTACTGGTGCCCGCTTGAGCAAATTGATGAACAACGGGAGGACAATGCTACTAGTATTAGCTTGGTATATTTGATATAAATATTAATTTTAAAGGATACACCATAGACATGCCTCCAGACCCTGCACCAGGCTGCTTCATCTGGGGCAGCCTGAAGGGTGGCGGTGTGTTCCCCTCCCTGCCCCAATGAAGCCCAAAACCTCCAGAATTCAATTGCTGCCAGGCCCACGGCTCAGATGAGCCTCACCCAGGAGAGAATCTATTCCTGGAATGTGCGGCCGCATGGCATCTCATACTTTACATTACCAATATGCCAAGAGTAGTACATCACATTTGATAGGGTTTTAAGTAGAAGGCAACCAGTCTTAGGGGGAAATATATTTATACATATATATCACTGTCACTGTCATTGTCCTCCCGTTGTTCATTGATTGGCTTGAGGGGATCCAGTAATGTCTCCATTGTGAGACTTGTTACTGTGTTTGGCATATCGAATATGTCACAGGTAGCTTGCAGGGTTTGCTGTGCGGGCAAGATACTCTCGGTAGCTTGCCAGGCTCTCCGAGAGGGGTGGAGGAATCAAACGTGGGTCGGCCTGGTCGGCCACATGCAAGGCAAACGCCCTACCCACTATGCTATTGCTTCAGCCCATATTATGCTATAATTGTTTGATACTAACAGTCACTCTCTTAAACAAGCAAGGCACGATAAAGAGAACAATACAAAGAAAAATCACAACACTACCCAAGTCCATCAAAGAACGCTCGCTCTCTCTCTATATATAGATATATATATATGCTATATATATAAGCATACAAGGCTGAATCTTTAACAACATGTTACTAATCTCTTATGGAAGGACTTAATGGCTCCTAGGTGAAATATAACAATCTTCACACACTTTCCTCTAAGAAACTTTTTTTGGATCATTTTTAGAAAATTATTCATAACAAGCAATAATGGTTCTGCTTTGGGGGCAGGGTTTCGGGTCCTGATTGAAAACATTCGAAATATGGTGGTGGGAAGGTATAATGATGGTGGGATTAGTGTTTGAATATTAAATGTAATCAAATATTGTGAGCAACTTAATAAAAAATATTAATTTTAAAGTAAAAGTCTGCTGCAGTTATGAAAAATATCCAAAAATGGGTAAAGGAACTGAATAGAAACTTCCTTAAGGAAAACATATAGTCTAACAGGCAAATGAAAAGGTTTATACTATCAGGAGTTTTCAAAAGTGCCTTCCATAGAGGCAGTCTGGGGTATGTTGTGGGGGGCGTTGTTTTTTCAGGAGGGAAACTGGAGACACTGGTGAAGGAAAGTGGACAATAGTGAGGGCATTGGTGTTGGAATCTTGTAATACACGTTATTTCAATTAAACATATACAGATATTTAAAAATAAAAAGACTGGGCTTGAACTACCTCATACCATTTTAAGAATTAACTGTAATGAAATAAAACAAAACTAAAGAACTAAGGTGAATTTTATTCTTAATGCGTCACTTTATTGTATTAAAGCATATCTCAATATGGAGTTTTTAAAAACTTCTCTAGTAGCCAAATGATGGCTCAAGTTGTATTGCAGATTCCTTCCAGCAGAACCAGAGTTCAATCTCCAGCACCTCCTGGCCCCATTAGCACTGCTCAGAATAGCCCTGGAGGCCCACAACCATCACTGAATGTGGCCTTTATTTTTTAAAAAATTTCCTTTTATGAATGTTCTTCTGTCAGAACACAGTTTTACCTTACTAATAGTTTATTCTGTTTTCTAGAATGCTTTCCCTTGCAGTTAAATAAACTTTGTAAAAGCTCTGGCCTATTTATTCTAATCAGAGGCATAAAAGAATAAATGTGAAGGTAATGTGTGCATAGATAATAGTAACTCTGCACCCATGAAAATGTATGGCCTTTTAAAATATTCAAATCTACACAAACGCTACCAATACAAGGGGTCCACATCCACCCAGTTCCTTCTTTTCACCTTCTGACCATTAGACCCTCTCTTATCTCTCTCTTACGCCTGCCTCCTTCCCTTCTGCTTCCCTACTCCATCCCTCCTCTTTTTTCTCCTCTTCTCTTTCTCTTTTCTCTCCTTCCATACTGCTCTCTCCCTCTTACCCCACCTCTCAGTCTTGTTAAGATCCCACTCCTTTAGAGTACAAGGGGAGGTGCCAGAGCCGAACGAGTTATCTCACTTGGTACATAGTACTTCTGAAGACAGTAGACAAGTTCCACGGGTCGTACTGCTCTCTGCCGTCTATCCTGCATCTTCTCCATCAGCAAGAGAAGCTGAAAGGGGAAGTTTCTCTTCTTCTCTTCCACTTCCCTTGGCACGGTTATCCTGACAAAAAGAACAACCATGAATCTTATACTACAATTCCCAGTTGTACCATATATTTAAAAAGAACTCCACATCCAAGTCATTTTGCAGACTTAAATTATAACTGGGTAGGACCAGTTATCAGAATTTTAAGTTTCAAAAATACTTTAGATGTTCTAAAAAGGTAACTAACCACTGTGTTAGCAAATCAGCTATAGAAATCACCCTTTTCAGACAGGTGCAGCAAAGCTACCTTACTCTACCTGATAATCACACTAATATTAAAAGCAGTCGAAGTGGCTGGCCTCCAAGTCATGGAGCAAAATTCCTGGTACTAATCTCGGCCACTCCTGGGTGTTAGTCTCCCATTTTGTTGCTTTATGTTCCCCCAGATGAATACAATCTTTTTGTGTCTATCACGCTCTTTCTGACTCATTTCGCTTAACATGATACTTTCCATGTAGTACCACTTGTATGTGAATTTCATGACTTCATCTTTTCTAACAGCTACATAGTACTCCATTGTGTAAATGTACCAAAGTTTCTTTAACCAGTCATCTGTTCTCAGGCACTCAGGTTTTTTCCAGATCCTGGCTATTGTAAAGAGTGCTGCAATGAATAAACAAGTGCAGATGTCACTTCGACTATACTTTTTTGCCTCTCTGGGATATATTCCTAGGAGTGGTATTGCTGGGTCAAATAGGAGATCAAATTCTAATTTTTTGAGAATTGTCCATACTGTTTTCCAAAAGGGTTGGACCAGTAGGCATTCCCACCAGCAGTGAAGGAGGGTCCCTTTCTCGCCACATCCGCGCCAGCATCAGTTGCTTTTGTTCTTTTGGATGTGGGCTAGTCTCTGTGGTGTGAAATGATATCTCATTGTTTTGATCTGCATCTCCCTGATGATTAGTGATGTAGAGCATTTTCTCATGTGCCTTTTAGCCATTCAGATTTCTTCTTTGTGAAAGTTTCTGTTCATTTCCTCGCCCCATTTTTTGATGGGGTTGGGTGTTTTCTTCTTGTGGAGTTTAACCAGTACCTTGTATATCTTTGATATCAACCCCTTGTCAGATGTATATTTGGCGAATATCCTTTCCCATTCTGTAGACTGTCTTTGTATTTTGGTCACTGTTTCTTTTGAGGTGCAGAAGCTTCTTAGTTTAAGATAGTCCCATTTGTCTATCTCTGTTTTCACTTACTTGGCCAGTGGCATGACATCTTTGAAGATACAATTAATTTCAATATCATGGAGGGTTTTGCCAACTTTGTCTTCAATGAACTTTATGGATTCCGGTCTGATGTTGAGGTCATAAATCCATTTTGATCTTACTTTTGTGTATGGCATTAGGCAAAGATCTGAGCCCACTTTTTTGCATGTAGCTGTCCAGTTTTCCCAGAACAATTTATTAAAGAGGCTTTCCCTGCTCCATTTCACTTTTATTGCCCCCTTATCAAAGATTATAGACCAAACATGATTGTCACTCAATGCCTCTCTTGCAAACCACAGGACCCAAAAGGAGAGAGAGAGAACAAAAGGCAATGCCTTGCCACAGAGGCAGGGTGGGGTGGGAGGGATGGGGGGTGGGAGGGATGCTGGGACCCGTGGTGGTGGAGAATGGGCGCTGGTGGAGGGATGGGTACTTGATCATTGTATAACTGAAACCCAAGCACAAAAATTTGTAAGTCTATAACTGTACCTCATGGTGTTTCACTAATAAGAAAAAAAGTAAAAAAAAAAAAGAGTGTGTTGAAAATATCAGATTGTGGGGCTGGAGCAATAGGACAGTGGCTAAGTTGCTTGCCTTGAAACCCCGGCCAACTGGGGTTCAATCTCCAGCACCCCATAGGGTCCCCTGAGCTCAGTTCAGTGTGGCCCCAAAGCAAATAAATAAATAAATGGCTGGAGCAATAGCACAGCGGTAGGGTGTTTGCCTTACAAGCGGCCAACATGGCCGACCCGAGTTCGATTCCTCCACCCCTCTTGGAGAGCCCAGCAAGCTACCGAGAGTATCTCGCCTGCATGGCAGAGCCTGGCAAGCTACCCGTGACATATTCAATATGCCAAACACAGTAACAAGAAGTCTCATGATAGAGACGTTACTGGGCCCGCTCGAGCAAATCAATGAACAGCGGGAGGACCATGACCATGACCATGATCAATAAATAAATAAATAAAAAGCAGTCGAAGTGGGTTTTAGTCCCATAGAAAATTAGCCAGGCAGCAAAATTTCCAATCTGAAGAAGTCCAAAGTGAAAAAATTGTGATTAGTGACCGAGGTATTGGGTCCTCCTGTTGTTCATTGATTTGCTCAAGCGGGCACCAGTAACGTTTCACAACAAATTGTGAGACTTGTTGTACTGTTTTTGGCATATTGAATACGTCACAGGGAGCTTGCCAGGCTTTGCCGTGCAGGCAAGATACTCTCAGTAGTTTGCTGTGCTCTCCGAGAGGGGCAGAGGAATCAAACCTGGGTCGGCCGCATGCAAGACAAACGCCTTACCCGCTGTACTATCATTCCAGCCCGGGGACAAAGGGTAACCTGAGGAATTTAAGTGTATCTTGGCATTTTTGACAATGGAAGGAGAAAAATAGCACACGACAGAAAAACGTGTGATAAAATATGTTTGTGTGTGCATATTGGAAGAAAAATAATAGATTTTCAATGCCAATCCCTTCACCATTGTCCACTTTACCTCACCAATGTCCCCAGTTTCCCACCAGCTTTCCTCCCCCCACACTCCAGTCTGCCTCTATCAAGGTACTTAAAAAAAAGTATGGGGGCAAAGGGGTGTACAGGGTTGGGGGGAGGGGGAGGCTGATCAACAGTAGAAGGAACAGATGCTCAACTGAGGGTAACTGTTGGAATGGTGGTGGTGTTGGACTGTTTTATGCATAAAACCCTATTGTTGACAGTGTTGTAAAGCACAGGAAGTAAAATTTTTTTTAAAAAGTCTTAATCAATAGAGCCACAGACCTACTCATTGATTTATTTGTCCTCCTATACTTGTCTGTTCTCAAGTCTTTCTGGCCTAATCCATAGTTATGTATTCTGGCTCTAATTGATTTTATTTTTGGTTTGGGGGCTAGAGGCTGCAGTTCTCAAAAACTACTCCTGGGGCACAATTGTGAATGGAATTGTTTTCTTCATGTCACTTTCTTCTCTTTCACTATTTGCATATAGGAAAGCCATGGATTTTTGGGTATTGATTTTATAGCCTGCCACTTTACTATACAAGCCTATTGTTTCTAGGAGTTTCTTGGTAGAGGTTTTAGGGTTCTCTAAGTATAGTATCATGTCATCGGCGAATAGTGAGAGCTTAATTTCTTCTTTCCCTATCTGGATGCCCTTAATATCTTTTTCTTGCCTAATCGCTATTGCAAGTACTTCCAGTACTATATTGAACAGCAGTGGAGAGAGTGGGCATCCTTGTCTCATCCCTGACCTTAGGGGGAAGGCTCTCAGTTTTTCCTCATTGAGGATGATGTTTGCTGTAGGTTTGTGGTAGATGGCTTTACAATTCCATTCACAATTGTGCCCCAGACAATCAAGTACCTAGGAATCACCTTAACTAAGGAAGTAAAGGATCTGTACAAAGAAAACTACAAAACGCTACTTCGGGAAATAAAAGAGGACACGAGGAAATGGAAAAATATCCCCTGTTCATGGATGGGGAGAATCAACATTGTCAAAATGGCAATACTCCCCAAGGCACTGTACAAATTCAATGCAATCCCTATAAGGATACCCACAACATTCTTCAAGGAAACGGAGCAAACACTCCTGAAATTTATATGGAACAATAAGCCCCCAAGAATAGCTAAAGCAATTCTTGGGAAAAAGAAAATGGGAGGAATCAACCTACCTAACTTCAAGCTCTACTACAAAGCAGTAATAATCAAAACAGCATGGTACTGGAACAAAGGCAGAGTTGCAGACCAATGGAACAGAGTTGAATATACTGACATCTCCTCCCAAACATATAATCATCTAATCTTCGATAACGGGGCAAGAAAAGTGAAATGGAGCAGGGAAAGCCTCTTTAATAAATTGTGCTGGCAAAACTGGACGGCTACATGCAAAAAAGTGGGCTCAGATCTCTGCCTAACGCCATGCACAAAAGTAAGATCGAAATGGATTTATGACCTCAACATCAGACCGGAATCCATAATGTTTATTGAAGACAAAGTTGGCAAAACTCTCCACGATACTGAGGTTAGTGGTATCTTCAAAGATGTCACACCACTGGCCGAGCAAGTGAAAACAGAGATAGACAAATGGGACTATCTTCAACTAAGAAGCTTCTGCACCTCAAAAGAAACAGTGACCAAAATACAAAGACAGCCTACAGAATGTGAAAGAATATTCACCAAATACACATCCGACAAGGGGTTGATATCAAGGATATACAAGGTACTGGTTAAACTACACAAGAAGAAATCACCCAACCCCATCAAAAAATGGGGCGAGGAGATGAACAGAAACTTTCACAAAGAAGAAATCTGAATGGCAAAAAGGCACATGAGAAAATGCTCTACATCACTAATCATCAGAGAGATGCAGATCAAAACAACAATGAGATATCATTTCACACCACAGAGACTGGCCCACATCCACAAGAACAAAAGCAACAGGTGCTAGCGCGGATGTGGCGAGAAAGGGACCCTCCTTCACTGCTGGTGGGAATGCAGGCTTGTCCAACCCTTTTGGAAAACAGTATGGACGATTCTCAAAAAATTAGAATTTGATCTCCCATTTGACCCAGCTATAGCACTCCTGGGAATATATCCCAGAGAGGCAAAAAGGTATAGTCGAAGTGACATCTGCAATTGTTTGTTCATTGCAGCACTCTTTACAATAGCCAGAATCTGGAAAAAACCTGAGTGCCCGAGAACAGATGACTGGTTAAAGAAACTTTGGTACATTTACACAATGGAGTACTATGTAGCTGTTAGAAAAGATGAAGTTATGAAATTTACATACAAGTGGTACTACATGGAAAGTATCATGTTAAGCAAAATGAGTCAGAAAGAGCGGGATAGACACAGAAAGATTGCATTCATCTGGGGAACATAAAGCAACAAAAGGGGAGACTAACACCCAGGGATGGCTCAGATTAGTACCAGGAATTTTGCTCCATGACTTGAAGGCCAGCCACATGTGCTAGGTGAAAAGGAAGCTCAGATAGAGAAGAGAGCACCAAATAAAGGGTGTTGTGAAGACCCTCCCAGGGTGGGAGAGACATGCTAAAAGTAGTCTACACACCAAACATGATTGCCACTCAATGCCTCTCTGGCAAAACACAGTACCCAAAAGAAGAGAGAGAGAACAAGGGGGAATGCCCTGCCACAGCGGCAGGGTGGGACGGGGGGGGGGGGGTGGGGGTGGGGGGTGGGAGGGATGCTAGGACCCGTGGTGGGGGAGGATGGGCACTGGTGGAGGGATGGGTACTTGATCATTGTATAACTGAAACCCAAGCACAAAAATTTATAAGTCTATAAATGTACTTCATGGTGTTTCTCTAATTAAAAAAAATGATAAAAAAAAAAAAACTACTCCTGGCTCTGTATTTGTGTCACTCACAGCGATGTGCAGTACTAAGGACTGAACCTGAATCTCCTACATGCAAATCGTGTTCAGCTTGTTGAGATAGCTCTTTGGCCCTCTGATTTTATTAAAAATATTCAAGGAACCTTCTTTTAATATTGAGCACCACAAAAATAAATCTTGCAGGGTGGGATTTACCTGTTTTATTTTTATAGTTTATATTGCTTTATTAACTTCTTAGTCAAAATTACACAGAAATATTTTCTTCATCAACTTTTGAAGGAATACTTATAAAAGTACAATTCACTGTGAATAAAATAATTAAAATACTTTACTGTTTGAAGTCTTACCTCTTCAGTATCTCGGTGAAACCTGTGTTCATAACCAACACTTGAATCACAGAGTTAAGGCAGCAGGTCTGTCCAATATTGTGTAAACCAACTGGGCCTGTAAAGAGTAGAGAAAAAACATTGAGATGTAAGGCCTAACTGATTTCATAAATATCAAATGCTCTTCTAGAACCTACTAAAGATATGAAGTCTAGGGAATTCTCAGAGAATTCCCTAAAACCTCGCAAATAAATTGGAAAGGAATTACAAAGCAAGACTTACAGGTACACATGAAGGTAGAAGCAAGGGGACAAAGGCAACACAACAGGAAAAGTGATCCATACAACTAGTTTGTGAGAGAAGGTCTTAAAGGAAGAGACAGAGTCCTTGGGGGAGGAAGGTGGGTACACTGGGAGTGAGTGTAGTGTTGGAATTCTGTGCATGAGACTCACGGTATCACAAATCACAGAAGGAAGGAAGGAAGGGAGGAAGGACGGAAGGGAGGGAGGGAGGGAGGGAAGGAAGGAAGGAAGGAAAGAAAGAAAGAAAGAAAGAAAGAAAGAAAGAAAGGAAGGAACAAACAAAGAAACAAACAAAGAAACAAAGAAAGATCAATCTTGGTGGAGATCCTGCTAATCTGAACACATCTACAAAGACCGGAAGCCAGCAGTAATTTATGAAGATGTTAAAAACCTAGAGACAGCTCTCTTCTGACCCTCTGGCAATGATTCTCTTCTTTACCAAACCAAACTTGGTCCCAGCAGGTCTCATGAGGTGAGGAATTTCAGAGGGAAAATATGGTAAACTCAAATTTGCCAGGGAAATGCTGTATACACACATATACATATATACACACATATACACATACAGAGTATTTATACTATACAAATAGTGTATACAAAATATATATACAGTCAATAGAAGTAGAATAACCCAGTGGAAAGGAACTGAGGGAACTGAGCCTTGGCACAGCATTTCTTGATCCCCTAAACACTGCTAGGTATAGCCCTTATGATCATCAAATAATACATCAGGCCTGTATTGCCCAGCAAGTATCACTTGGGAGTGGCCTCCTGGAAACTCTTAGCACTGCTGAGGAGACCCCTATTTCTTATAAAACACAGGGGTGGAGGATAACCACAGATTTCCTCTCCTGAATCAGCAGGAGCACTTCTCTGTACATAGGAATACCAGTAAAGAAAATAGAGCAAAGCACTATCTACTACATAGCAAACACTGGTTTAAAGCAATTTCCATAGATATCTCATTTTCTCCCAACACGTAGCACTATAATTAATCATCGCATATGTAGAAATGGAGGCATAAGTAGCATCACTGTATCACTGTCATCCCATTGATCTTCAATTTACTCGAGCGGGTGCCAGTAACATCTCTATTCCTCTATTCCTCCCAGCCCTGAGATTTTAGCAGCCTCGTCTTACTCGTCTTTTCCCAACAATTGGAGGCTCTTTCAGGGTCAAGGGAATGAGACCTGTTGTCATTACTGTATTTGGCATATAGAATACGCCACAGGGAGTTTGCCAGGCTCTGTCGGTGCAGGTGGGATACTCTCGGTAGCTTGCTGGGCTCTCCGAGAGGCATATATGGGAAGGAAGTGTCTTATAATGTGTCCAGAAAGCGGCCTGGAGCATGGCAGTGGTTGGGCAGTGGAGGTCGGCTGCCAGGGCTGGGTCCCTTGGGGTGGGGAGGGCTCTTATCTGCCCCACAGCCTGACGAGGAGTCCAATAAGTAGCATGCTGAGTGAAATGAGTCAGAAGGACAAGAACAGACAGAATTATTGCACTCATCTGTGGAATATAAAAACTATAGTGTGGGACGGTAGAAATAGGGGCTAGGAGGACTGGTCCATGGTTGGAAGCTTGCTACAAATGTGTGTGATGGTGGGTGGGGGGAGGGGGTTGCCAGAGGGCAGTAGGATAGAAAAGGAACCACTATGAAAATAATAGTTGGAAATGATCACTGTTGTGAAAGTAGGCTTTCAGTACCTGTATTGCAAATGATAATGCAGAGAGAGAGAGAGAGAGAGAGAGAGAGAGAGAGAGAGAAGAAAAGTGCCAGGCTGAGGACATTGTTGGCAGAAGGGAAACTGGGGACATCAATGGTGGGAAATGTACACTGGTGAAGGGACAGGTGTTAAAACACGATGACTGAAATGCAATCACACAGTTTGGTAACTGCATCTCAGGTGATTCAGTTAAAAAAAGAGGGGGGTGGCTCAAGCAATAGCACAGTGGGTAGGGCGTGTGCCTTGCATGCGGCCGACCCTGGTTCAATTTCCAGCATCTCATATGGTCCCCTGAGCATAGCTAGGAGTAAGTAATTCCTGAGTGCATGATCCGGGAGTGACGCCTGTGCATTGCCGGGTGTGACCCAAAAAGAAAAAATAAAAGGAAGAGAGACTCAGCAATGAATTCCAGAAGACAGCAGCTTACCTGAGATTTCTTCAGACCCCGTGCCAAGCCGATTTCTCTGGGCACCTCAGCTGGAGCGGGTGTCATCTCTCCACCCACTCTAAATGAACCCCCAGTGGCCACAAACTTCCAGAAGAAAAACCCAGGTAGGCGGGACCAGAGACTGAAGACTTCAGGCCACATGGCAGCGGTGGGGATGGGCTGTCCCTTCCATCTCCCCACCCCCTCAGGGTTCTGGCTGTCACCCCTATGAACTGCCTCTGAGTGCCATTTAAGCACATTAATGGTCTTGATCCAGAGACCTACAAATGAATCTCAAAATGGATTAGTTCCCTACAGTGATGTCTTCAGACCCCAATCATTTACAATTTTAGAATTTTAGGAACGTGTGGCTGTGTGACCTCTCGTGATATTAATAATAAGCAATAGGAAATAAATTATCTTGCATCTTCCTATGGCAGGCAGGCTTCAATGGTGGTGGGGGAAATTTGAATGCTGAGAAATAATGTTGGTTGGAAAGTGTAATGGCGGTGGGATTGGTGTTGAAATCAATTAATGCAAACAACCTTATGAAAATAAAATTTAAAAATTAAAAAAAGAAAGCCACAGAAGGAGAAGAAGAGGAAAAGGAAGAAAGAGAAGCAGCAGCAGAAGAAGAAGCTGGAGGAGGAGGAGGAGGAGGAGGAGGAGGAGGAGGAGGAGGAGGAGGAGGAGGAGGAGGAGGAGGAGGAGGAATGAAGGTATAAAAGACCAGGAACAACAAACCACAAAGCTGTACTACCTTAGAGTATTGTAAATGAGAAAAATATTTCTATACATTCAAAAAGAAAACATTGGAGGAATATAATGACCATAATGATAGTCCTACATACTGAGGTTTTCTCTTGGCTTTACTCTCTTCCTCTTCATTTCGTCCTCTTCCTTCTTCTCAGTGGGTTCTGTTGAGAAATGCTGAGACTGTTGCAGGACTGATTTCTTCAGGGGTTCAAACACTTGCCCTTTAGAGATCATTCCATGGCCAGTTACCTGACCCATAACCAGGAATTGCAAACTTCACTTCCAGGAGAAGCTACCATAAGTTAATCTTGGTGGAATACCTGCAAACAAAAATCACAGGTAGGTGAAGCTTTAAAAAGGGTAAAAGATATTCATGTGTTCAGCTCTTATTTCAGATATTCAAGTTTATAAGACATAAAGTTTGAGAAGATTGCTCAAAAAATTGGGTCTAGAAATGACAACTCACTAGATACCCTCTACCCTTCGTCAGTTCTACATTTTGTTTTGTATCCAAGGGAACAGCCATATTCTCATCCCCCGATGTTGTCTATTCTTGGCAAAAGGTACCAACACTCAACAGCTCTCCACACCAGAACCTGATTTTCTCCTGATCCTTACTTCTATATCCACTGAGGGTTGTCAATGTTAATCTACTCACTAGGACTTTCCTTGATACCCACAGTTGAATACTTCTGCAGACCTCTAGGCCCCAAAAAGGTATTTTCTTTTCTGGAAACCTGATTTGGTTTCCTCAAGCAGACCTGGATGTCATCTATGTTCCTATGCACTTTGATACTATTTCCCGGGCTGAGGGGAGAGTTGATGTTTCACAGCTCCCCACTGAGTTCCTATTCAGTTAATGAACAATGAAAGAGAATAAATGTCTTACCATGCAAGAATTGAAATAATTATTAAGGAGGAAACAGTTCCAGAGCTCTAGAGTTCCCCCTTAAGATAGACTGAGGTTTCTATTAACAGTGTGGCAGTTCAACCATTTCCTCTGCTCATTCCTGCCTTGCTCACACTACCAGATGTTCCCACCAGCACTTCCCAACAATCTTCTCACACGTACATCTCAGAGTCTCAATTCAAAAATGCAAGAACTTGGGAGGCAAAATTTTTTGAGTTCTTCCATTACATGTTGCATGGGAATTTAATAACCATTGAAAGAATGAATGGGAACATACAGGAACAAAACCATTACCTTCAAATGCTATAAAATGCTATGTATAAAATACATAATTATACTTCTTGTCTTTGGGGCTTGGATGGGAGACTAAACTACATAATATGTGAAAACTACAAAGAAACACTTAATTTCAAAATAAATAAGAACTCTCAGAGACTGTGAGCCAGGCCTAGTAGAATTAAGTTGTCCTCATTTAGTTATTGAAGCAGAAGGCTGTCCTTAAAGATAAGAGTATAAAAATATGTTGAATAGTCTGGGTTAGGAGGAAATGAGATTTTTTTCATTTCCCTTCCAACACTTACTTTGGGTTTTTTTTTTTGGGGGGGGGGTTGTTTGTTTGTTTGTTTTTTACTTTTTGCTTTTTTGGTCACACCCAGCAATGCTCAGGGGTTACTACTGTCTCTCCACTCAGAAATTACTCCTGGTGGTGCTTGAGGAACCATATGGGATACTGAGGATCAAACCCAGGTCGGCCACGTGCAAGGCAAACACCCTACCCACTGTACTATCGCTCCTGCCCAACACCTACATTGTTTAAGCATCAATGTGTGTGATAAAATGTTTAAAATAAATCATGAAAGCCATGATTTGATAGTTAAGTGCTAGGGGATGAAACAAGTAGACAGCAGGTTATAATTTTAATTTAGACACTGATTTGAAGATTTGTTTATAATGGGATTTCCGACATAGAACATTCCATCTACAGTCCTACCATCCTGTGTCCCCATCTCTCCACCAGTGACCTCAGGTTCATTTCCACCACCACCCCAACCTAACTCTTTATCAGATAAATATATATTTTTAGTTTCATTATTGTTGTTTAGGCCCCATGCATTCAGAAGTGTTGTGTATAGTGGTTTATGTACAAGTACCTCATCTTGTATCTTGCCTCTGTATTACTTCCAGACCAGCTCTACTTGTCTTCTGCTCCATATTGCTCCTCCCTTGGCAATTTTTATTTCTGTAATTTAGATCCAATGTTTCCCCCATCTTCGATATCTTCCATTAGACACCACAGAGTAGTAAGAATATCTAGTATGTGTCTTTTCTAACTTGCTTCACCTAACAGAATATCCTCAATTTTTACCCAATTTACATCAAATCACATAATTCCAGTATTCCTGTGGCAGAGTAGTATTATATTTTGTATATATACCAAAGTTTATTACCCACTCTTCTGTTATCTAGCACCTTGGTGGTTTTCATCTCCTAGTTATTGTACTAAGTGCTCCAATGAATAATACTATGCAAATATCACTTCAAATGAATGCTTTGCATATTATGTAGATACCAAACAGTGGGATGACTGGATCATATGGCAGTTTCATTCTTAGGTTTTGAGGAGTCTACATAATATGTCCTCAGGGACTGAACCAGACAACAATCCCAGTTGCATGAGAGCACCATTTTTACCACATCCCTACAAACTCAGGTTGTTTCTAGAACTTTGGTGTCTGTCAGTCTTACTGGTGTGAGGTGATATCTCATTGTCACTTTAATTTTGATTTCCTTAAATCACCATCTCATAGCTGCTTCCATGTAAATTATGGCCCAGCTTCACACCTAATCTTGGAAGAGATGTAAGCCAAGCCACTGAAACTTCTGGGTACACCTGCTGAAAAATCTAATATCACCTTGAGAGAGGGGTGACTGCAAATCATCTCAATTCTATAGATCCTGACACTCCTAAAGTGCACAGTCATGTACACAGCTGTTTGACATCTCCAACTTCCACGATACTGACAGCCAAATAAGAGCACAACAAATTACATGGGAAAGTAGCATAGAAGCTAACTAAACTCTGTCACTGTCACTGTCCTCCCATTGTTCATCGATTTGCTTGAGTGGGCCCAGTAACGTCTCCATTGTGAGACTTGGTTGTTATTGTGTTTGGCATATCGGATACTTCACAGGTAGCTTGCCAGGCTTTGCTGTGTGGGCAAGATACTCTCGGTAGCTTGCCGGGCTCTCTGAGAGGGGCTCTCCGAGAGGAGCTCTCCAAGAGGGGCGGAAGAATCGAACTCATGTTGGCTGCGTGAAAGGCAAACGCCCTACCCGCTGTGCTATCGCTCCAGCCCAACAAAACTCAAAAAACATAAAAAATAACACAGAAAACTCAACCAGCAACAAACACCTCAGTAAATCCCCAGACAATGACTTTAATGACCCCATTGTGATGTATAACAACTTTTACAAAAGTTCTTTTACTGACGCGTCTTTTTAATAACTCCATTAGCCATTGTGTTGCAATAAGCAATATAAAATAAATCATTTTGTGCCTGCTAAAGGAGCAGACTTGGAGGGTGGGAGGGAAACTGGGGTTAACAGGGGAAGGAAGGTCACACTGGTGGTGGGGTTCAGTGTTGGAACATTGAATGCCTGAAGTAACTGTTCTATGAACAATTTTGTAAACCAGCGTTCAAATAAAAGACTTAAATAATAATTAAATAATAATTAAATAATTAAATAATAATTGATGATCAACTATTTTTCATACGCCTATATCCAACTATCTTCTTCAGAGACAAGCTACAGAAAAAAGTATCTGTTTATTTCCTTTCCCCATTTTATACAGGATTATTGAGTTTATTGATGCTGATCTTTGAGTGTTTGGGATATCAACCCTTTATCTAATGTATTTTGTGCAAATATTTTTCTCCCATTCATTGGGGAACTTTTTAATTTTAACCTGTTTTTCTCTTTTTTTTATTTCTTAATGAAACACTGTGAGATAGGATTACAGACTTACACACTTTCATGATTACATTTCAGTCATACAATGGTCAAGTACCCATCCCTCCACCAATGCCCTTTCTCCACCACCAATGTTCCCAGTATCCCTCCTACCACCCTCACCCCATCCCCCCTACCTCTGTGGCAGGCACATTCCCTTTTACTCTCTTTCTCTCTCCTTTTTGGTGTTATGGTTTGCAATTCAGGTATTACGGTAGCCTGTTTTTCTTTTGCCATGCAAAACTTATTTATTTGTTGTAGTCCCACTTGTTAATTTTTCTCTTGCCTTTGTAATGGAATCACATCATTTAAATGGAATCAGATTGTTAAAAATTACTTTAAGAGATTCACAGCTGATCTCAGAGACAAGCCAGCAGCTGAGTAATTCCAGGCACAGATCTCTGGAGCTTCCAGAGGATAGAGGCAGACCGGTTCCTGCCCTGCTAAAGGCCCAGCAATCCATCATCCTCCACCAAATTCTGGCTCCTACCCTTGCCAGAGAATGGCCCAGCTTCACACTGATCTAGGGGAGATGCTAGTAGTTAATTGTCCCAGTTCTAAAGCTCCTGAGGTACGCAACGCATATGCATATGTGGCTGCACAATACCTCCAAACCTCACAGAGCTGACAGCCCAGTAGTCACTGTCACTGTCCTCCCGTTGTTCATCAATTTGCTCGAGTGGGCCCAGTAATGTCTCCATTTTGAGCCTTGTTGTTACTGTGTTTGGCATATCGAATACGTCACGGGTAGCTTGCCAGGCTTTGCCGTGCGGGTGAGATACTCTCGGTAGCTTGCCGGGCTCTCCGAGAGGAGCGGAGGAATCGAACCCGGCTCGGCCGGGCTGGCTGCGTGCAAGGCAAATGCCCTACCGCCACAGCCCAGTAGAAGCACCAAAAATTAGATGAAAATATTGTGTAGAAACCCACTAAGCTCAGTGAGTGGAAACAGTAACACAGAAGGCTCAACTAGAACCAAATAATGACTTTTGTAACATTATTACAAAATATATGTTGTGATAAACAATATAAAGTAAATTATTGTTGTGCCTGCTAAGGAACCTAGCTTGGAAAGTGGGTGGGTAACTGGGGATATTAGTGGAGGTAAAGGCACATTCGTGGTGGGACTGATGTTGGAACAATGAATACCTAAAACAATTGTTCAGACTGAGTTGGGAGGTGGTTTGGGAGAGGGACGGGAAACTGGGGACATTGGTGCTGGGAAACTACACTGGTGGAGGAATGGGTGTTGGGTCATTGTATGTTGGTGCTAAGCCAGGACATAAGGACGAACCTCTGGACATTGCCCTGCAAGCAGGAAGTGGAACCGAGGCCCCGCTTCTCACTAAGTGGGCAAGCTAAAATCTTGTGAGTCCGATGATCTGGAGAAGTACAACATGC